TCGAGCGTATTGTGTGAAAGACTGAAGCCCACCGTCAATGAACTGATTGGGCCTTATCAGTGTGGCTTTAGACCTGGCAAATCCACCATAGACCAGGTATTCACAATACGCCAAATCTTGGAAAAGACCCGCGAGAAAAGGATCGACACTCACCACCTATTTGTCGACTTTAAAGCCGCTTTTGACAGCACTAAAAGGAGTTGCCTATACGCCGCTATGTCTGAATTTGGCATCCCCTCAAAACTCATACGGCTGTGTAAAATGACGTTGAGCAATACCACCAGCTCCGTCAGAATTGGAAAAGACCTCTCCGAGCCGTTCGCCACAAAACGGGGTTTCAGACAGGGCGACTCCCTTTCATGTGACTTCTTTAATCTGATGTTGGAGAAGATAATAAGAGCTGCAGAACTGAACCGCTCAGGAACAATTTACTACAAGAGCGTGCAATTGCTGGCTTATGCCGATGACATCGACATCATCGGTAACAAAAACCGCGAAGTCTGTTCTGCCTTTTCCAAGTTGGATAGGGAAGCAAAGCGAATGGGTCTGGTGGTAAACGAGGACAAGACGAAGTATCTCCTGTCATCAAACAAACAGTCAGCACATTCGCGCCTTGGCACCCACGTCACTGTTGACAGTTACAATTTCGAGAAAGTAGAGAATTTCGTTTACTTGGGAACCAGCATTAACACCGATAATAATGTCAGCGTTGAAATCCAACGTAGAATCACTCTTGCCAACAAGTGCTACTTTGGACTGAGTAGGCAATTCAGGAGTAAAGTCCTCTCTCGACGTACGAAAACCACGCTCTATAAGTCACTCATCATGCCCGTGCTGGTATATGGCGCAGAAGCATGGACAATGACAACATCCGATGAGGCGGCTCTTGGAGTGTTTGAGAGAAAGATTTTGCGGAAGATTTACGGGCCTTTACGCGTTGGCGACGGCGAGTACCGCAGACGATGGAACGATGAGCTGTATGAGCTTTACAACGATATGGACATAGTGCAGCGAATTAAAATACAGCGGCTCCGCTGGCTTGGTCATGTCGTTCGAATGGACACCGACGCTCCAGCTCTGAAAGTATTCAACTCGGAACCCGCTGGTGGTAGCAGAGGAAGAGGGAGGCCCCCACTGCGATGGAAAGATCAGGTGGAGAAGGACTTGGCTTCACTTGGCGTTTCCAATTGGCGTCAGTTGGCACAGAGGAGAAACGACTGGCGTGCTTTGCTGAACTCGGCCAAAATCGCTTAGGCGGTTACAGCGCCAAAAAAAGAAGAAGAAGAAGAATTAGACTGCTCAAAACTTTAGCAGGCGTTGGCTTGGCACCGCAAACGATATGAAAAATGATAGTGTTACATCTAAGCTTAAGGTGAAAAGAGTTGTACGGTTGCAATTTCTTTATTATCCACACGGTTGCACGAGGCAATTACGTTTTGTTTTAAATCCGTAACACCATAATGAGAGATTGTTATTACCAGTTGTAATTTTATTCTCAACAGCAATCATTTGTATATTGAATTCTCCAAAATTTAAAGCCATTCCCAGATTCCCCGACAGATTAAAATTCCACCAAAATCGGGGAATTCTGCCCGCCTGGCATCACGGGTTCTGGTATATTTACTCCCATGATAAAAACATAAAAAAAATATTATTATTATTATTTTTTAATACTTTCATCATGTTTACTCCAACATTTAATTTACGTTATTTTAATGCAGATGAGAGGTCTAGTGCATTTAACAGATCATTGAAATTCATAAATTTTGACTTGGTTTGAAAATGCTTGATACTTTATCTAAATAGATTCTAGTTAATACAACTTAGGGGATTACTTTAAATGGGAAAAGTTAAAAACGAAAAAAGTACTTTTCGTTAAATCTTCGAAGCGAAATCTTTTTTTTGCAAAATTAATATTTATTAATTAATTTGGATTATTTGCAAGTATCATTAAAAAATTCTTGTTAAGAGAAATTTTTTCTTGACCCTGCAAGTGTTTTGAAAATTAAATTTTATTTTTGTCCAAATTCTTACGCTTCAAACTGTAAAAAAATATAATATGAATGTGAATACGGTGGAAGCTCACAAATTAGGACTTTCCAGATATTATAATTAATGTTATAGTTATTAGAACCAAGCATTTTGATTGAACGCTCTAAAATTATGAGTTCAAGTTTTAATTTTCGATCAAAGTTTGCAATATCATTTCTGTATACATACATAGGTATGTATGTCATTTTGAATTAGTATTTCGTTTTGTTTTCATAACTATAATAGTTGCAGGCATTTGAAATTAATTTCAAGTATTTTCCAAAAAAGTGGAAGCATTTAAACGTGAAAACTTTTTTTCCTTAATTTTTCAACATAAATAAATAAAAACCAAGAGCTTTGTTAAAAAATCGCCATGAATAGATCGACGAGAAACTTGAAATCGGTTCTCAAAATTGATTTGTCCACAGCAACCTTTTTTGCCCCACTGTGCGGCGCTTCTACCTCCGATTTGTGTTAACCGGACATTGAACTAACGGCCCTTAATATAAGGTAATCGTACGACACTAACGTACTCTTGCGATGCTCTAGTACAAGTCTACGTACATACTAGGGATGTTTCGAATGTCATATTTTTCACATTCGCGAATGCGAGTGCGAATTTTCGGAACGCGAATGTTAGGAATAACATTAAAAAAGCTATAATCACCTTAAGTCATCGTTTTTATTACATACTCATCGGCGTAGCCAGAATGAAATTTAGGGGGGGGCTCGACCCTATTAAGCTGGCATTTCAGGGTACTATTTTATATATATATAAGGAAAATTTGAAAGTTAGGGGGGGAGAGGGGCTCGAGCCCCCCCCTGCCCCTACCTGGCTACGCCCATGTACATACTTAAACATTTTGTAAATTATTAGAACATTGAACGAGTGCTTAACCTGTACAGTGTTTTAATCTAGTAGTCAAAGTTGAATAAGGGCATATTATATTAAAAAAAGGTAATTTTGCTGCCATTTCTCCCATGAGGCGATTTCTTAGAGGCTCGTATATAAGACCGGCTGCACTGAACAATTGCTCAGTTGGAACGCTGGCGTATGGAGCGCTCAAATATTTGCGGACCAGATCTGTTAATTTGTCGTATTCTAGATAAGTTTTCTACCAATCGAGAGGATTTTCACTGAGATGAGCTCGTTTTTCTTTAAGATAGGCGGCCTTCAATTGAGCTTTAATTTCACCCTTTTTAATGTCTCCAGATTCTACATCCGAGCCTTCGCATTCGCTGAGGGAATCTAATATTATTTCTACGTAGCTTCTAAGACTTTAAGCAGTACTTATTGAAGGCCCATCAATGTTGCTTGATATACTATTTAGCTGTTTAGCGCCTGAAGCTAAAAGCCGGTTATTGTCCGCACCCTGGTTAGATAGACTTAGAGTCATTTCAACAATAATAGAGTGAACTCTCTGCGCACGTACACATTCGCATTCACAAAACATTCGTATCATTTGATGCGAATGCAAATGTGTAAAATGATGCGAATGCAAATTATCGCAACATCCCTGGTATATACATATGTACATAAGTATGTATGTATGTAGATACATTTGCACTCACTTAGCGGTTAAAATAATGTCGGTAGTGACACTGCAACAGCTGATTGACAAAAAGGTTAAGAAGTGTGTGCTGTGAAAACTAATCGAAAACAAAGTAAGGCAATTAAGCCAGGCACAATTACATACATACATAAATACATAAATAAATTAGGGTTTCCCAAAAAATTAAACTCTTTGAAATTTTCTTGTTGCCACCCCACTCCCAGAATTATAGGAAATGGAAAAATAATGGTGTCGACCTTTTTATTTTAGAATCGGCTAATATTTAACCAGCCTTCGCACAGTGGTTCGAAGCTGGCATTTACTGTTCATAATTCACTGGAGCCTTAATTTTTCACCCAATTTGAATACTTTTCATTATTTTTTTTTTTTTTTTGATGAAAGCTTTTAAACTTAGCAAGAGACCAGTGAGCTCGACTTTTGAATTTTCATTCCCTTGTCTTAAAGTTTTTGATATAAAGTGCAGAAAAAGTAGCAATTTTGAAGAAAATCGATTCTCTTGTTTCAATTAATAAATGTTACATGATAAAAACCAGTTGAAAAAATTTCGAAAAAAAAAAATTCCAAAAAATATTTGAAATGTTTTAAGAAAAATTTTCATCAAAATTTTGGGTATGCAGTTTTATGTATCATGAAATTTTAATACAACAAAATGTAAGTTTCTATTCTTAATAATATACATATACATATGTATAATAAGAATATAAACTACACAACATGCGGATCGCTCAAAAAGCTAGCAAAAAAAATTATGTATTAAAAATCGATATACATATATGAAAAAGTTCAAAGCCTCGGCGGCACGTTAAATTTTTTTCTTACCACCCTAATGTACTTATGTACATCTGTACTTGTGAGTATAATTTTTGAGGTTAGCAATTGATATTAAATTTCGTATACGGTAGTAAATCAAAAACATGTTTACGAAAATGTGAAACAGAAAGCAAAAATTGTGCGAGAGCGAGACAGCAGCTGATGGGTTTCTTAAAAATGCATACATTTATTGAGCTAACAAAAATTATTGATGAGACAATGAAAAGGAGAAATTTCTTTTTGCTGAAATATTAAATTTTAAAAGTGCTTAAGTAAACAAAAAATTCCACTAAAGTTATTGTAAGTAATTGCTTTAACTTTTGACATCATTACATTTGCTATAAACTTTTTTTATGTACATATGTATATCGCATATGAATTGACGGGTACATACATATTTAATTGTGCTAAAATTGCAATGTGTCTACTTTGNATTTATGTACATATGTATATCGCATATGAATTGATACGGGTACATACATATTTAATTGTGCTAAAATTGCAATGTGTCTACTTTGCAATTTAATTGTTGTTGCATGGCTTAGTGATAAGATGTTTACGTTCTCTATTCACTGAATATTCTTGTTTTTACAGTTCAGTGTGTAGTTCTATGTAGATAGAAGCAGCGCTCAAACGGGTGCTTAGCAAATGTTTGGTTTTTGAATTAAATAACATTTCTTTGACTGATTAGCAAATAAAAAAAAAAAAATAAAAAAAAAATAAGTTTGTGAAAATGTGTAAAAAAGTGTTTGTTTTAAGGAAAATGCAACTTTTTGTAATAAATGTTATTGTTTTAAGTGTGTTTGTGCCAACAATCAACAGCAATTTGACGGTAATATTTTACATATAAAAAACTTATTTATTTGGGAATGAGTTATGAAAGCGTTAGCATGTGAAAATCGATACTGAAATTGTCAAAATCTTATATGCATATTAGGGTGATCCGAAATAATCGACCTATACGACGAATCTATAACCTTAAAAGGGCCTATTTACTGATAAGAAAATTCCCTCATTTGGAAAAATTGTTATTCCAATTTTAAAAGTGGTCGGTTAGCATTTGAAATTTTCCATATATGTATATAACGTGCAAAAAATTGTTTTCATTAAAANGTATACGACGAATCTATAACCTTAAAAGGGAAAAATTGTTATTCCAATTTTAAAAGTGGTCGGTTAGCATTTGAAATTTTCCATATATGTATATAACGTGCAAAAAATTGTTTTCATTAAAAATGGTGTAACTATTGAAGCGTTCGAGTTAAGATTTTTTTTTTGGCATATTCTTGTATGCCATTAAATTGTCAAAAAAATAACTCTGTCTAGATTTAAAAATGTAATACTTAGGGCTTTATGATTGGTAATATTTATGCTTAATGAAAAAACTTACACTAAAATGATACAAAATGTTAAAAAATGTTGATTATAAACTAGATTTATCAGAGAAGAGAAAGTTTTACAGNCGGGCTAAGAAAGTTGAAAAAAGAAGAAATATGCAGTTTTAGGGCTTTATGATTGGTAATATTCATGCTTAATGAAAAAAATTACACTAAAATGATACAAAATGTTAAAAATGTTGATTATAAACTAGATTTATCAGAGAAGAGAAAGTTTTACAGCCCGATCCTGTGCACTTGGTAAATATTTTTATTTTTTTTATAATTTGTCAGCTACGGTAGTCAAATCTTTTTTGCTTTTAAATTCATATTTATTAAATGTTACAATGAAATAAGTTCCACTCAAGTGGAAATCAGTTCCCCTCAAGTGGAAATCGTAGAGCTTTTTATTTTATAAATATTGACACAGAATGCGATGGGAGCTTTTACTTGTTAAAAGTCTTGATACAATTTCTTTANGTTTTAAATTCATATTTATTAAATGTTACAATGAAATAAGTTCCACTCACGTGGAAATCAGTTCCCCTCATGTGGAAATCGTAGAGCTTTTTATTTTATAAATATTGACACAGAATGCGATGGGAGCTTTTACTTGTTAAAAGTCTTGATACAATTTCTTTACAAATAATTTATCAAGAAAACACAGAATTGCGTGGTTAATTTATATGTGTATTTATTTTTTTGAATTTTCTTTAAATTATTAATAAAATTCAGTTTCTTCCAATTAGGATATTTCTAGCAAAACAATTGCATTAGTTACCTGCAAAATAAATTGATTTTGTTTCTGCCTTTCGTCAAAGTTCGATTCCAATTTTGTATCAACGGTATACCTCGTTCAGTTATATCATTAAAATATATATTTAATACCCTAACTCGTCTCTAAGACAGCCAACTTCAGGGTATTTTTTTAGAGAATCGAATGCCACACAGGAATATGCCCATAAAAAAATTGTATCTCAAACCGTTCAGAAGTTATAACATTTTTAATGAAAACAAATTTTTTTACATGTTATTTACGTAGAAAATTTCAAATGCCCTCCGGCCATAACTTCGTTAGGTTAGTTATTTTGGATCACCCTAATACATATAGGTGTATATGTATGTACATAAATTTTAGGGATACCATATTTGCTTGTGAGCATACGTTCCAAGAAAACTAATTGTCATCTTTGTTTGTCCTCTTCATTTCTTTAATTTATAATAAGTTTGTAGTTTGAATTGTTGTTATTACTACCATAGATCACGATTATCAAGATAAGTACAAAATGTGTAACCAACTACAACTATATGAATACGAAAATGAGGTTCTTTGAACTCAGGGAAACGAAGAGTACACATTATTGTACCGAGTGCTTGTGCACTCACTGCGGTATATCAGATCGGAAGAAAAATCAAAAAAAAAAACATTTGAATTCAATTAAAAATTATGGTTAAATATGTATGTAAATGAACGTAAACAAATTTTACTTCCTTTAGGAAAAACTAAGATAGCTCGCAGATCTTTGGTAATATTTATTAAATAAAAAAATAACTTTAATGCGCAGGCCCAGTGAAAATTGTGTGGCTTATTTCTGGAAATGAGTATTGTCCCCTTGGCATCGTTTTACCAATTGCTTTATTTTGGCACTTTGGTTTAATAAGTATGAGAGGGACCACCCCCGCGCCGCCTTTTACAAAAACTCCGACTCTGTGCTTAGAGCATGCGTATTAGACCTTNACCGGCCATAACTTCGTTAGGTTAGTTATTTTGGATCACCCTAATATATATAGGTGTATATGTATGTACATAAATTTTAGGGATACTATATTTGCTTGTGAGCATACGTTCCATGAAAACTAATTGTCATCTTTGTTTGTCCTCTTCATTTCTTTAATTTATAATAAGTTTGGAGTTTGAATTGTTGTTATTACTACCATAGATCACGATTATCAAGATAAGTACAAAATGTGTAAACAACTACAACTATATGAATACGAAAATGAGGTTCTTAGAACTCAGGGAAACGAAGAGTACACATTATTGTACCGAGTGCTTGTGCACTCACTGCGGTATATCAGATCGGAAGAAAAATCAAAAAACAAAAAAAACATTTAAATTCAATTAAAAATTATGGTTAAATATGTATGTAAATGAACGTAAACAAATTTTACTTCCTTTAGGAAAAACTAAGATGGCTTATAGCTCGCAGATCTTTGGTAATATTTATTAAATAAAAAAATAACTTTAATGCGCAGGCCCAGTGAAAATTGTGTGGCGTATTTCTGGAAATGAGTATAGTCCCCTTGGCATCGTTTTACCAATTGCTTTATTTTGGCATTTTGGCTTAATAAGTATGAGAGGGACCACCCCCGCGCCTCCTTTTACAAAAACTCCGACTCTGTGCTTAGAGCATGCGTATTAGACCTTTTTGGCGAACTTAAATGAACTAAAATTAAGGTGGTGCGTTGGGGTGATAAGAACTGAAATGTGGTGGGTAAGTAACGGAATTGGGTACTTGAAACAACTCTTGAACGAAAAAATTTTCTCCTCGATACAAGAGCATCTGCATATCGTACTTTAAGGTCCAACTGTAAATATAGACGATATGACAAAAAATGTAGGAAGGTGACCGTAGCAATCGGCAAAAAAAAATTGTTTTTTCGTAAGTGCCTGGAAAAAGTAATTCAGTCTAAGTAAGGGGTATACGGCGAACTTTTTTCTGGTACCGCCTAATTTGTCTGATTTCATATACATAAGTACATATGTATCTCCATACCAAGTTAAAGTATTATACCATAAATACTTCCAGAGCTATGCATTATGGAAAACTCAGTTTGTATGGAATATGCGACGCCCTCTTAATGAATCGAAATTATTTCTAACATATGACCGACCATCCGTGCAAAATCTGCAGTAGATACGACAAATTTGATTGTGAGCAGACAAGCGGTTTAGGATGCAACTACGAACATACTTATTTACTTAGGCCAGTAGTGCACACATGAGCCAAACGTAGCCACTCGGCTTTCACGTACAAACAGTGTTGCCAGATGCTTTTTTCAAGCTATAAATTTTCGGAAAAAATGCGCATTTTTCACTCAAAAACTGTTATCTTCAATTTTGGCCAGTTTCACCAGCAATTTATGTAAATGGATGATGATGGAATGCAAAGGACATCTTAAATCTTTTGTTTCAAACAGTGCTCTTAACCGAAAAACCATATTGGTTTTTCTCGGATACTTATCATATTGCGCATTAACATAGAGGTTTTTCTCGGAAAGATATACAAATGCGCGCATTATATTTTTGGTAGATTATACTCGATAAAAAGTTAATTTATTTGTATTTTTCAATTCCGTTGTAAATGGCGACAAGCTGGTCAATTATTCTGTCTGGTTCATCATGTAATTTTGGACATACTCCATATAATAGAGGTAATGAATTACCCGGTCAAAGGTAATATATATCCGGATAGTTGTATCTTTAACCGGGTACCCGGGCAGAAGATTATATTTGTACAGGTCCTTGATTAGCGGTTTATATTTGCCCAAGTACCCAGGTAGTGGGTTAACTTTATCCGAGTACGCGGATTGGCGGTTATGTTTATTCGGATACCAGGATACCCCTGATATGGGGTTATTTTTATCGGATATGGGGTTATTTTTATCCGAGTACCCGGGTAGTAGATTATCTTTACCCGCCTACAGGGTTATTTTAACCCCCGAACCCGGGTAGGCGGTTATCTTTATGGGAGTACCCGGGTAGGGTTACCTTTCCGAGTACTCGGGTAGTCGGTTATCGTTATCCGGGTACCTGATAGTGGGTTTGTGTGGCAGATTCCCCGGGAAGGGGGTACCAAAGTAGGTGGTTACTTTTTTCCAGGTACCAGGGTAGGAGATTTTATTTACTCGGGTACCCGGGTAGTGAATTTATTTTTAGCTGCTTTCAACTAAAATTTGCCTGTGAAATGGCCCCGTATAAATACCGTATTACCCATTTCCTTATTCAACCCCCATCTATCAGGTGAAGCTGATTCGCCGCTATTTAAACATGATTGTTAATTGTGTACATTAATTTGATTGAACGTGGTAAAAATTGATTATGTTTAATAAAAATTGATTATGTTTAATTAAGATATCAACGCTTTTGGCTTCTGTATTCGGTTGAACATTAAACTGTGGATGAACGTTCTGTTCAGCTTCGTCCTCGGAAGAAAATTTGATCTTCGATCGTATTCTAATAATGTGTGGGTAATTTATGTAATATCGGTGCCAGTGATCTTTTAAACGGAGCATCATTCTCCATACGCACGACATGCCCAAGCCAATGCAACCTCTTTATTTTTACACGCTCGTACAGTTATTCATTTAATTTTCTAATTAGTATTTAGTGAAGCCATAAATACTAACTACTTTTGTATCCAGTATTTAGTAAAGTAAATAATTTTGTACGCGGTACTTAGTGAAGCCAAAGCCTCTAAATACTTTGGTACGCGGTATTTAGTAACATCATAAATTCTTAAGTAAATTGTACTTTGGTATTCACCACAACATAAATACCTAAATACTTTTGCACTTAGTACTTAATACTTAGTAAATAAAATTCTCCCCATCACTGTTTTCACGTAAAGTATGCAGATAAGTACACTTAGAGCTTAGAAGAACTGAGGAGATAGGTAAAATTCATTTACTTATTGATGCAAATTTATGGATATCTCTTTTTAGAACTTCCTAAGAAATAATTTGGATATAAAATATTAATTTTAAATTCTTATTTTTTTCTGCAGCCTCACAAAATAGCGCTCCACAATTACCCAGTTCAGGAACATATAGTGCACACCAGCGATGGCTACCTGCTCAACATCTATCGCATACCAGCACCTGCCACGCAAACGCACTCACTTCCAACCAAAAGAAGCAAAGTCGTCTTACTACAGCACGGTTTTACACTCTCCTCCGATATTTGGCTGCTGCGTGGCCCCAGCGCCGATCTGCCATACCTGCTGGCTGACGCTGGCTACGATGTTTGGTTGGGCAATCATCGTGGCAATCACTATGGCCGCCGACACGCAACCCTGGATCCTAAAATCGACAGGCAACACTTTTGGAACTTTACATGGCATGAAATGGGCTATTTTGATCTGGCCAATACTGTGGACTATATACTCGGTGAGACTGGTCAAAAAACAATGCACTATGTTGGCTACTCGCAAGGCGGAATGGTAGCGTTGGTGCTGCTGGCGACACGTCCGGATTATGCGGCGAAATTCAAATCTCTACAATTCACTGCGCCGACTGTTTATATGGGAAATATTAATGTGCCGTTACCTATGACATGGCGTCACAAGCTGAGCGAATATATGGGCCGCTTATTAGATTGGTGGGGTTATGCTGAAACGTTGCACTTTGCGCATTGGAATGCGCATCAACGCTTGTGCAAGACGCTGTGTGACGATGGCGCGTGGTTTAGGCCGATCTATTTGAAAGTATATGGCATGATAGCTGGACCTGTGGCTGCAGAGGAAGATTATGAGGTGAGGCGCTTGTGATTTCGTAAAAATTTAAGTGAAAGTAGGTATTTTCTTTTCTTTTGTCCATTCCAGCACATACTAACCGACATGTGTGGCACGCTGCCTGTGGGCGCATCCAACAAACAGCTGCTCCACTATATACAGCTACACACCTCTGGTGGTTTCCAGCAATTTGACTACGGCAGTGTCGATAAGAATCTGCGTCAATATGGTCTGACTTCACCACCCAGTTATAATTTGAGCTCAATCAGAAATTGTGTAACGCTCTACTATAGCGAAACGGATTCCATGAGCGCGGCGGAAGATGTCCGTCAACTTGGCAAGGAGCTGCCATGCGCGAAGCTGTATCCATTACCTCATGCGGCTTGGAATCATGGGGATTTTATGTGGTCTCGCTATGCTCCAGAGGCGTTACATGGGCGTATTTTAGGGAATATGAATGCGTGGGAGGCGAGTGAAGAGGAAAGAATGAAGAACTGACTTTAATTATGTAGATGAGTAGTACATAAGTATTTAGTATTGTTTAGGAAATGTAAATAAAAGTTATGTCGAATTTCCGCTAGAACTTAATGGTTATTTTTTTTAACGTAATGACAAATATCTTATTATATCAAATGAGCAATTCTTGTATATATATATATATCCATAGGGTTCTCGGAAACGGCTCTAACGATTTTGAAAAAAGGTAAAATATAACTATTCATGGGTACCAAGAGGAGCTTCTTAAACAATGCTTTCCCTGTATACAAAATGTTATCCCTTAGGATAATAGTGTTAGGTTGCCACTTATTTTCGATTCTGCACAATTTATATAAAACATCGCAATATGGATATCAATGAATTATTGAGAACTTTCATCTGAAAAAATTTTTCATCAGGGTTGCCACGCTTCTATGTAGTGAAAATTTTTATTTTGTTACTTTCAATCAGCATTTTTTTTTAATATATACACAGTACATATACGCTCAAGATATGTACCATTAATTCCACCGTATTTCGGAATAGGGTTGCCACCCAAATTTTGTAGTAAGTCATTTACTTAATAGATAGCGAAATCCTAAATTTTTTCTTCCAAAATATTTTTTTTAAAGGTATCCAAANTACATAAACAGTACATATACGCTCAAGATATGTACCATTAATTCCACCGTATTTCGGAATAGGGTTGCCACCCAAATTTTGTAGTAAGTCATTTACTTAGTAGATATCGAAATCCTAAATTTTTTCTTCCAAAATATTTTTTTTAAAGGTATCCAAATCTTGAAAACTTCAAAAAGAATATGCACTATAAATTTGTTTTGTTAAAAATTTAATGACAACCTTATTTTGAAACCACAGTCATATGTTGCTAGCAATAGTTAACGAAAGGGGTCATAGCCTATAGATCATCCCCATAGATGCGGCATAACTAGCTGATATGCATAACTATATAAGGGAAGTCGTCAGCAATTCATTATCACCGAGAGTCTTGATCATTATCGTCGAAAAGTCGAGCGTCAGAGCCAGCGTCGGCAGCATTTGTTTACGCCCAGCGCTGGTTTACGATAACCGATACCTACACTCTCTATAGGCCTCACATCACTTTACAGGTTCGCTTCCGATACATCATAAATATAGGAAAGACGTCTTGATGATGTCTTCATAGTTACACTCGGAGCCATATTTGTCCTTTGTAAATGCTCACTACGAGTTCCAAGAAGAAAGCACATTACTCTAGCCGGCTGAAATTAAGTACGTCCGATAGTTTCACTTGTGTTTTCTCTACCTAGATGGTGAACAAGTTTGGTCGAAATTGGTAGAATGGTTACTGAGATATACATACACATGCAATCATAAGTAGGCGGAACTACACCCAGTTTCAAATATTTATAATAATCTTATGTTCCCTGGACAGACTATTGTAAACATCCATTTTGAGTGGATTCGCTTTGTTATATGGAAGGTAGGCGTGGATATTGTCCGATTTTGACCATATTAAATGCGATCTATATATATTAGGGGGGTCCTTAAAAATCAAATGAACGATTTTTTCCGTCTCACCCCCTAAATCGGTAATACCACGATCACAGATATTACATATAAATTTTGGTCCCGATTGGAGTCGGTTAAGGCGTATCGCAATGGGGTTAAAGGCCAGAAGCCTCTATGGAGACTCAAAAAATTAAAAATATTTTTTTTTTTTCATTTAATACCCAAAATCGATACTACTAAAGTCGAAGATATCCCATATAAATTTTGGTCCCGATTTCTGTCGGTTAAGATGTTTTCGTAGGGTAATCTGCACTTTGACCTCTATGCGACACACCTTAACCGTCTCCAATCGTCACCAAAATTTATATGTAATATCTTCGACTATACTAGCATCGACGTAGGGGTTAAGGCTTAGGAAATCTGATGTAAAAATTTACTTCCTACATTTAAGGACCATCCTAATATACATATATATGTTTCTATATTCTGCTGTAGGTGGTCCCATATTCGAACTCTGTCAGACATAACTTCAAAATGATAATATGAAATTTCGATCTCTCTTTTATTTTTCCTCAATTCGAAAAAGTATTTGCGAAGTGCAGGATATTTAAATAGAAACGCGTTTAAAGAAAACAATCTCGAGCTTTACCCCTGCATTACTTGTCCCCTTCTTTCAAGTTAGCTTTTTGTAGCTAACCACAAGCTATATATTTTATAGAAATCCCGCAAAAAAGCAAACTACAAGTAGGTTATTTTTTATCAATTGATATATTTTTTCTGCAGGGTACTTAAATTTTTCATTTAATTTTGAATTTAATGTATCCGTTTGTTTATCCTTGTTATGTATGCAGGCAAGCACAACTACATTTACAACGCAACCTTTCTCGTATTTACTAACTTTTTACGCGTGCCGTTAGTTTTTGAAAGTTCAAGTTCACTATGTGGAATGACAGAAAATAAATTCGAGGACCAAACTGACAATGCGAAAACTAACAAAAAAAACAGCAAAAATAAAAAGATAAATAAAAACATAAACTTTGAACTGTCCGTAGTTAAATAATATTTGTGTATGTGTGTACATAATCGTATAACTGTATTTGTATGTCGCTCAACGGCAAACAAGAAAAAATTGTTAACAAGTCTGCGAAAGTAGTTCATTGTCAGCGCCATAAACTTTTGTTTAAATTTGATTTTTTTCCATTCTTTTATTTTTAGAATTTTGTTGGTGAAATGGTGGCATAACAGATTCTAGCTATCACGCTGAGCTATGTATGCCCATATATGTAATATGTATGTGCGAAAATAAAAGTTGCTGTGTACTGAATACTGAAGTGTTGACTTTTTAACGGTAAATACGGGTATTGAATGCCAGTAGTGCATAAAGATGGTTGCAACAACAGGAAAAAATAAAAAATGACAAGAGGAAGTGTCAAAAGATTGAAGTATTAATGATGATTTAGTTGAAAAGTAGATGTGTGTTTAAGGAGAATCGATAACCTAGGTAGACAAAAGTATGCACTGGTTAGAGACTGAAGAAATAAGCGATTAATTCAATAAGACCGCATTCGAAAATAGCGTGCGGAATAGGTAGTTTTCGAATATATCAGCAGTAAGGCACAATTGTCGTAAAATACCGCTAACATTCACTGATGCGATGGACCCGAATGACATTAGTAAGTCTCGAGAATCAAGGGCATTACGGGTCCAATATCTTCTGAAACACTGTCCACCCTGATAGTAAGCCTAAATTGTGATGATCGAACTAAAAGATAATAATCCAGGTGGTACCCATGCAAGTGGAAATCTACCTTCATTTACCGCACGGTTATGGATTTTTGGAAGCACGCAATCATTACACAAGTCTCCAGAGGTTAAGCGAAGGCGCACATCCTGGTGGAACGGAACGTAACTTTACCTCTTGAATTTTCACAGTCAGAACTGCAATATTTGATTGGGTATGCAGTCATCTGGCAACGACCGGGAAGGTCTGATCTCATTTTCTCAGAAGAAGAGGGAAAGTACGTCGGAGCAGGTGGCGAAACGCAGGCAAGAGAAATCTTCTCTTTTTTGGCTCTTGGCAGTGTTCCTGCTGCCTCAACTTTTAATAGACCACGGTATAGGAGGTTACGTCCACGGAAATCAATGGCTCCTTGTGGCATGCAGAGGCACCCGAATCTGTTGGAAGGCGGTGAAAAATTGGGATTCCTAGGATGAAGCCTAAATGGGAAAAAATTGAAAAATTCGTTGTCTGCAATGTGAACGTGTTTGGTATTTTTGTAATGGTAATTAATCCACAAAAAAATTAAACAGAAATTTCCATATGAAATAAATTATATGCCATCAGGAAGCCACTAAAGTCGACAAATTTTATTTTAATGCGTAAGCTCTTCACGGGAACTAATGTCAAAAATACATTCTTTGAAATAAAATGTTGGTTTGACGTTTTTAAAAGACTTTGGATTTTACTTCAGTTGAGGCGTAGGTTTTCTGTTGGCTTATTTTGAAAAGCGCTCTTTGTTTTGTATTCATAATTGGCCCACTAGTCGTGCAGAAAGTGGGTTATTTGACCGGACAGAGATTCGCTGTAACTAGGTAAGGCTGAAGAGCTACGGAGATCAACTCTTACCCGAAGTACTGTGTTCGTGACTGGCCTTTATGAAGGTGCGCAGCTTGGGTGATACTCAGTACGAGTCCTTTGAATCTTTTCTTCCGGCGCTAAATTTTGAAAGGAAAGCAGGATTGGGCATGGATTTTCGGTGAGATGGACATGTAAGGTAACTTAGATAAAAAAAAAATTGAATTATTTGTTTCATTCAAGGGGATATTGAAAATCTGAAAATGTAGTATTACTGGGGTTAACATATTTTATCACAGGCATATAAATATTTTCTTGTAGTATAGCCGCACGAGCTAGTTAGCTAAATAGAACTGCTTAGCCAGAAGTTCAACCTCAAGTCGGCACATTTATGAAATCGTGATATGAAATAACGTCGTAGATGACTGGACTGCGGATGTTTATGCAGAAAATAAAGCCTGAAACTATGTAGCCCATAACTGTCAAAACGTTTATTTATTTTGCNAAACTAATGTCAAAAATACATTCTTTGAAATAAAATGTTGGTTTGACGTTTTTAAAAGCCTTTGGATTTTACTTCAGTTGAGGCGTAGGTTTTCTGTTGGCTTATTTTGAAAAGCGCTCTTTGTTTTGTATTCATAATTGGCCCACTAGTCGTGCGGAAAGTGGGTTATTTGACCGGACAGAGATTCGCTGTAACTAGGTAAGGCTGAAGAGCTACGGAGATCAACTCTTACCCGAAGTACTGTGTTCGTGACTGGCCTTTATGAAGGTGCGCAGCTTGGGTGATACTCAGTACGAGTCCTTTGAATCTTTTCTTCCAGCGCTAAATTTGGCTAAATGATGGACATGTAAGGTAACTTAGATAAAAAAAAAATTGAATTATTTGTTTCATTCAAGGGGATATTGAAAATCTGAAAATGTAGTATTATTAGGGGTTAACATATTTTATCACGGCATATAAATATTTTCTTATAGTATAGCCGCACGAGCTAGTTAGCTAAATAGAACTGCTTAGC